TGCAAGCTCCACCTCCCAGGTTCAAGTAATTCTCCTGCCTCAGCCTCCTGAGTAGCTGGGATTACAGGCACCTACTACCCCGCCCAGCTCATTTTTTTTTTTTGTATTATTAGTAGAGTCGGGGTTTCACCATGTTGGCCAGGCTGGTCTCGAACTCCTGATCTCATGATCCGCCCTCCTCGGCCTCCCAAAGCACTGGGATTACAGGTGTGAGTCACTGCACCCGGCGTTTTGGAGTTTGGCCATGTTGTTCAGACTGGACTCCAACTCCTGAGCTCAAGTCATCCTCCTGCCTCAGCCTCCCGAGTAGCTGGGACCACAGGTGAACGGATTTTTACATTTAAAATCAGTTTCAAAAAACTGATTGGGGGAAAAAACCAAAAAGTCGTTGGGGAAAAAGAAGAAAAGAGGAGTAATATTTCATCGCCCATGAAAGTTCTACGATGTCTATGCTTCGGTGTGTACTACCAATAAGGTTTTACTGGAAGACAGACACTCTTATGGTGTACAGATCGTCTGTGGCTGCTCTAAAACTACAAACCAGAACTATTGACTCTCTGGCCCTTTACGGAAAATGGGTGCTGCCCTCTGACCTAGATCAAGACGAAGAACATTTCTATCACCCTGCACATCCCGCTGTGGCTCCCAGCTTTCGGGAACCTCTGCCTAGAGAACGCTACTTTTTTTTGGAGGGGAGGACAGAGTCTCACTCTGTCACCCAGGCTGGAGTGCAGTGGTGTGATCTTGGCTCACTGAAACCTCCACCTCCCAGGTTCAAGCAATTCTCTTGCCTCAGCCTCCCAAGTAGCTGGGATTACAGGTGCCCACCACCTCGCCCAGCTAATGTTTTTTTTGTTTTTGAGACAAAGTCTTGCTCTGTTGCCCAGGCTAGAGTGCAGTGGCATGAACTTGGCTCACTGCAGAATTGCTGCTTCAACCTCCTGAGTAGCTGGGATTACAGGTGCCCACCACCGTGCCAAGCTAATTTTTTTATTTTTAGTAGACATGGGGTTTCACCATATTGGCCAGGCTGGTCTCGAACTCCTGACCCCATAATCCAGCCCCCTCGGCCTCCCAAAGTGCTGGGATTACAGGCGTGAGCTACTGCACCCGGCCCATATCTAGCTAATTTTTTATTGAAACGGGATTTCACTGCGTTGTTCAGGCTGGTCTCAAACTCTCGGGCTCCAGTGGTCCTCCCCTGTCTGCCTCCCAAAAGTGCTGGGATTATAGGCACGAGCCGCTTTTTAACCAGGATGGAGATCTGGGCACACGTTTTTAGCCAGCATAGACATACTGCGTGACTCCAGGGAAGTTCCTAGCGGTCTCTGAGCCTGGAGCAGGACCCCTGATGCTGTCCAGGCCAGGCCTAGGGGGAGGGAAGGAGGGACCCTCACCAGGCTTGATGGGCTGGAAGGAGGATCCCTCGAGCTCTTCTGGGGTGAGCTGTCTGAGTCGGTGCCGAGGTTCAGCTTCTCCACTGATATGTCACTGCAGCAGAAGAGAGAAGGGTGTGTCTGGGACGCAAGACCCTGGAGAGCTTTAAGGGGCAGCCAGGTCCCTGGGACTCCCCTTGCTTACCTGGTGGTCCGAGCCTCGGATCCCGGAGAAGCCCCAGGGCTGAAGGTGGTGTTGGGGATGAGCCTCCGGAGCAGCCGCACCCACGTGGCGACGTCGATGTTCATCTGCCTAGCGCGCTGGAATGCCTTCCCTGGGGGGACGGGGGCAGGTGTCACCCTTCGTGACACTCCCAGGACCCCCGGCCTCTCCCTGAGGGGCTCTGGAGCAGCCTCTCACCTTGCTGCTTGGAGAAAATTTTCTTCTGCCGTCGGAGCCGAGGAATCCTCTCAATGACAGGGTTGCGGAAGGTGACCTGGAGGAAGGGACCAAAAGGTGAGGTCGCCCTGCCCACCTGCAGGCAGACAGCTTGGTGAGGAAGCCCCTAGGAGCACAGGCATGCGCACCCGAGTGGGGTTCTGGTCTTGGGGTGTCAAATTCAATCCAAGTACCAGGTAACAATGAAGAGGTCATCAACGCTAGTCTCGAGCTCCTGGCCTCAAACAATCCACCCAGCCTGGCCTCCCAAAGTGCTGGGATTCCAGGCGTGAGCCATGGCACCTGGCCAAAAGTTCTATGGGCTGGTGCTGCAGAAAGTTCTAGGGGATGGTGCTTCTGTAGAGGCGTACAAACAAAACAGAATGCTACCGGCAGACCTTGAAGGCGAGGAGAAATGCTTTAGAATTTGTCCCCCAGGGCGGGGCACGGTGGCTCACGCCTGTAATCCCAGCACTTTGGGATGCCGAGGCGGGCAGATCATGAGGTCAAGAGATTGAGACCATCCTGGCTAACATGGTGAAACCCGGTGTCTACTAAAAATATAAAAATTAGCCAGGCATGGTGGCGGGCTCCTGTAGTCCCAGCTACTCGGGAGGCTGAGGCAGGAGAATTGCTTGAACCCAGGAGGCAGAGGTTGCAGTGAGCAGAGATAGTGCCACTGCACTCCAGCCTGGTGACAGAAGAAGACTCCATCTCAAAAAATAAAAAAAAAAAAATTGTCCCCCAGGCCACCCACCACCACTTTCCATTTGGTTCTGGACTGTGTTCTGAATGGAAGAACAATTTTAAAGCTCTGCCATCTGAAGGCAACCCCTCTCCACGCCCCTTTCTTTCAGTGGTCCTTGATGGTCAGACCAGGCAAGAACCTCTGCTTGGGGATATGGATATAGAGAGATGGATAAATAAATAGACAGATACAGAGACAGGTAGATAGAGACGGGGGATGGGTGGCTGGGTAGTTACAGCTAGAGAGAGACTGATAGAGACAGGGACACATAGAGATGGCGAGAAGGATGGACGGATATGTAGATAAATACAGCTATATAGAAAAAAACAGAGAGAGGCACAGACAGATACAGAGAATAGGCCGGGCGTGGTGGCTCACGCCTGTAATCCAAGCACTTTGGAGGCCAAGGCGGGCAGATCACCTGAGGTCGGGAGTTCAAGACCAGCCTGACCAACATGGTGAAACCCCGTGTTTATTAAAAAAAAAAAAAAAAAAAAAAAAAGGAGATAGATATAGAGAATAGAGATAGAGAGCAAATGAGTAGACATAAGAGAGAGGAATATACAGAGATGGATGGACAGATGGGTGGATGGATAAGATGACTGATGGATAATATAGATGGATGATGCAGAGACAGATTGGTTGATAGATAATATAGACAGATGAATGGATAGACGGACGGATGAACGGATGAGATAAACAGATAATACAGATGCCTATTATAGATGAATACACAGATAAAACAGATAATATAGTGCATCTATTAATGCACAGACGGATGCATAGATAAGATGGGTGGATGAATGCATAGAAAAGCAGACAGGATGGATGGATGGATACGAAGGTTAGTAGGTAGGCAGACAGATTGTGCGTGTATACATACATAGGTAACCTATGCTATATATATATGTAAAACAGGGTACACGTTTAGGTTAGGGGAATATTAAAAGTGTTTTTTAGGATAAATTGGCTAAATGAGGGGCAAGTGATTTTCCTCCTCTGTACCTCAGTTTCCTCCACTGTCAAATTTGAATAATAACAGTCCCTCTTTTGTTGGGTGGCTGTTACGAGTTCATGTTGGCAAAGTGCTTGCTACAGAGCCCGGCTTATGCTATGAGAACTCTGCTAGAAATGTTATTCAGATGGGAGTTCCCAACCGAAAACCCTTGACAATGTCTGGAGGTCTCTAGGCTGTCAAAGCTCAGGAGAGGCGGAGTCACCAACATCCTGTAAGCAGTGGCCAGAGGTGCTGCTAAACGTCCTCCAGAGCACGGGACAGCCCTGCCACAGAGGATGACCAGGCCCAAGTGTGAACAGCGCCAAAGACAGGACGCCTCCGTTCAGACCGTCACCCTCCCACAACTGTGGACGGAATCGCTTTCTCTTGACGTGGCTCTGGTAGCAAACACCACAACACGTTGCCAGGTTTTGTATCTCTTTCCTGGCTGGATGAAATTTTATAATTTATTTACGTTTTTCTTTAAACATTTCTAAATTTGGAAATCAGCTTCTTCTTCCTCTTCTTTTTGTTTTTTGAATATGTTGCTTCGGAACAAAACCAAACCCAGCTAAGGTCATGTCACTGATGTGGCCTTTTTTTTTTTTTTTTTTTTTTTTCTTTTTGTGAGACAGAGTCTCACTCTGTTGCCCAGGCTGGAGTGCAGTGGCATGATCTCAGCTCACTGCAACCTCCGCCTAAGGGGTTCAAGGGATTCTCCTGCCTCAGGCTCCCAAGTAATTGGGAATACAGGTGCCCAATACCATACCCAGCTAATTTTTGTAATTTTAGTAGAGGTGGGTTTTCACCATGTTGGCCAGGATGGTCTCGAACTTCTGGTCTCAAGTGATCCACCCGCCTCGGCCTCCCAAACTGCTGGGATTACAGGTGTGAGGCACCATGCCCAGCCTAGAACAGGCAGATCTAAAGCCTATCTTCCCTTTCCAGAAGAGCCTGATCTAAAACATATCTTTCCCTCTAGAGGACATCTATTTAAAATGTATCTTCCCCTTCCAGAAGAGATAGATCTAAAACATACCTTCCCCTTTTAGAAAAGCCTGACCTAAAACGTGTCTTCCCCTTACAGAAAAAGCAGATCTAAAACGCATCTTCCCCTTCTAGAAGAGGCTGACCTAAAAAGCACCTTCTCCTTCTAGAAAAGGCAGAGCTAAAACGTATCTTCCATTTTTAGAAGAGCTGGATCTAAAACTTATTTTCCTCTTCTAGAAGAGCCTAAAACTTATCTTCCCCTTCTGGAAGAGCCAGACCTAAAATGTACTTTTTCATTCTAGAAAACTGGAAGTTGGGGAGTGAGGGAGAAGCAGCATTTTCTCAGGGTCAGGGGTGGGCTGTACCTCGGCCACCAAGCAGCCCTGGGGTTCCATGTCCAGCTGCACCTCATGCCTCTCATTGTCCAAGAAATCCTCCAACTTCAGGAATTTGAGGGCACACAGGCCCCGCTGGTCCCGCCAGAACACTGCCAACTCCAGTTCCCGCGCCTGGAGGGAGAGGAAGAGGGCCATCACTCAGGGTGCCGGAGGCATGGAAGCCCTCCTCCTCTCAGCCTTATTGCCCTTCAACACAGCTCACCCTCTCGAGCTCCAGGGTGAAGCTCTGGTCCCACGCGTTGGGGCCACACGGCTTCCAAGACGTCTGCCCCACCACCGTGTTATCCAGCTTAAGCACAGTGCTGACTTCATCTGAAACGAGGAGAGGGCTCAGTCAGAAAACGCTGGCAGTGGCCAGGCGAAGGTGGCTCATGCCTGTCATCCCATCACTTTGGGAGGTCGAGGCAGGCGGATCACTTGAGGCTGGGAATTCGAGACCAGCATGGCCATCATGGTGAAATCCCATCTCTACAATACATACAAAAATTAGTTGGGCGTGGTGGCACACACCTGTAATGCCCAGTACTTGGGAGGCTGAGGCAGGAGAATTGCTTGTACCCAGGAGGCTGAGGTTCACCGAGCTGAGCTCATGCCACTGCACTCCAGTTTGGGTGACACAGCGAGACTGTCTCAAAAAAAGAAAAGAAAAACAGCTGGGCATAGTGGCTCATGCCTGTAATCATCAACACTTTGGGTAGCTGAGGCAGGAGGATCACCTGAGGTCATGAGTTCGAGACCAGCTTGACTAACGTGATGAAACCCTTGTGTCTACTAAAAATACAAAATCACCCAGGTGTGGTGGTGCATGCCTGTAATCTCAGCTACTCAGGAGGTTGGGGCAGGAGAATCACTTGAACTCAGGAGGCGGAGGTTGCAGTGAGCTGAGATCGCACCATTGCACTCCAGCCTGGGCAATGAGTAAAACTCTGTCTCAAACCAAAAAAAAAAGAAGAAGAAAAAAGAAAATCCTGGCAGAAAGGGGCATCTCTATTACCTTTTTCTTTTTTTTTTTTTTTCCTTTTCTGATAGAGATGAGTCTTGTTATGTTGCCCAGGCTGGTCTCAAACTCCTGGCCTCAAGTGATTCTCCTGCCTCAGCCTCCCAAGTATCTGGGATTACAGGCATCAGTCACCAGCCCTGGCTGTCTACTATCTTTTTTAAAGAAATCCTCCCTCCATAACTTTTCTGCCACTGTAAAGTTTTGCATTTGACATTAAAGTCTTTAAATCCAGTTGATTTTTTTACTATGGTATAAGATGAGGCAGGGATCCAAGTTCACTTTTATTCTACATGGAAGTCTCAGCAACAGATTCCTAAGGATTCACTGATTGATTGACTGAGCCAGAGTCTTGCTCTGTCTCCCAGGCTGGAGTGCGGTGGCACAATCTTGGCTCACTGCAACTTCTACCTCCTGACCTGAAGATTCTCACATCTCAGCCTCCAAAGTAGCTCGGACTACAGGCACACACCACCATGTTCAGCTAATTTTTGTGTTTTTAGTAGAGATGAGGGTTTCACCATGTTGGCCAGGCTGGTCTCGAACTCCTGACCTCAAGTGATCTGCCCACGTCGGCCTCCCAAGTGCTGGGATTACAGGCATGAGCCACACACCCAGCCATTCCTAAAGATCACCCTAGTAAAATGCATGTGGGTATACATCAGGACATACATCTATATAAAGTATATATAATGGCCCAAAATAGAGGCATCCCACAGTCCATTAACAGGAGAATTAATATTTTAAAACTGCAATACAGTCTTAATAGCTGAAGTATGAAATTGCTGATATTTAAGAATTCTTTTTTTTTGCTTTCAGAAAAAAGCAATTTGATATGGCTTAGTCTAACATAATGGATTATTAAGCAGGAAAAAATATGAGTTAACTACAGCTTCCCACAACAAAATAGATGAGTCTCCCAAAACAATGTTTTTGGTTTTTTTTGGTTTGGTTTTTTTTTTTTGTTTTTGAGATGGAGTCTCACTGCCATCCAGGCTAGAGTGCAGTGGCGAAATCTTGGCTCACTGTAACCTCTGTCTCTCAGGTTCAAGGGATTCTCCTGCCTCAGCCTCCCGAGTAGCTGGGATTACAAGCGCCACCTCCCCCCCTCCCCCCACTCCGGCCAACACCCCTGGCTAATTTTTGTATTTTTAGGAGAGACGGGGTTTCACCATGTTGGCTAGCATGGTCTTGAACTCCTAACTTGGTGATCCACCCACCTCGGCTTTCCAAAGTGCTAGGATTACAGGCGTCAGCCGCTGCACCCGGTCTTTTTCTCTTTTCTTTTTAAGATGGAGTCTCGCTCGGTCGCCCAGGCTGGAGTCCAGTGGTGCAAATATAGCTCACTGTAGCCCTGACCTCCTGAGCTCAAGCAGTCCTCCCATTTCAGCCTCCTCAGTAGCAGGGACCACATTTTTGATTCATCTGTTTTCTTTTTTCCCCGCATAATTTTTCTTTTCTGTGACACAGACTCAGGAGGGCCTGACAACATGTACCCCAATTTTTTTTATTATTTGTAAAGACAAGGTCTTACTATGTTGCCCAGGCTGGTCTTGAACTCTTGGGCTGAAGTGATCCTCCTGAATCAGCCTCCCAAGTGCTTGGATTACAGATATGAGCCAATGCATCTGGCTGCAATATTCTGTATCTTTTTTTTTATAGACAGAGTTTCACCATGTTGGCCAGGCTGGTCTTGAACTCCTGACATCAGGTGATCTGCCCACCTCGGCCTCCCAAAGTGCTGGGATTACAGGCATGAGCCACCTTGCCCAGCCTCGCAACATTCTATTTCTAAACCCAGGTGGCAGTAACATGGGTGTTTGCTCTCCTGTAATTCTTCCCAACACTCCCCCCCTTTTTTTTTTTTTTTTTGTACATATGTATTAATTTTCTTCTTCCTTTTTAGCCACAAGATTAGAAATTAAATTTTCTTTTTAAAAAAATTATAAGGCCGGGCATGGGGTGGCTCACGCCTGTAATCCCAGCACTTTGGGAGGCCGAGGCAGGCAGATCACCTGAGGTTGGGAGTTTGAGACCAGCCTGGCCAACATGGTGAAACCCAGTCTCTACTAAAAATACAAAAATTAGCCAGGCATGGTGGTGCATGCCTGTAATTCCAGCTACTCGGGAAGCTGAGGCAGGAGAATCGCTTGAACCCTGGAAGCTGAGATTGCAGTAAGCAGAGATCGCACCATTGCACTCCAGCCTAGTCAACAAGATCGAAACTCCAACTCAAAAAAAATTATGGGGGCCGGGCGCGGTGACTCAAGCCTGTAATCCCAGCACTTTGGGAGGCCGAGACGGGTGGATCATGAGGTCAAGAGATCGAGACCATCCTGGTCAACATGGTGAAACCCCGTCTCTACTAAAAATACAAAACATTAGCTGGGCATGGTGGCACGTGCCTGTAATCCCAGCTACTCAGGAGGCTGAGGCAGGAGAATTGCCTGAACCCAGGAGACGGAGGTTGTGGTGAGCCGAGATCGCGCCATTGCACTCCAGCCTGGGTAACAAAAGCAAAAAACTCCATCTCAAAAAAAAAAAAAAAAAAAAAAAGAGAAAAAAAAATTATGGCAAAATACATATAACATTTAAATAATTATGGCAAAATACATAAAACATATAATTTATCATTTTTTTTTCTTTGAGATTGAGTCTCGCTCTGTCGCCCAGGCTGGAGTCCAGTGGTGCTATCTCGGCTCACTGTAAATTCCACCTCCCGGGTTCAAGCAATTCTCTGCCTCAGCCTCCCGAGTAGCTAGGATTACAGGTGCCTGCGACCACGCCCAGCTCATTTTTCTATATTTGGTAGAGATGGTGTTTTACCACATTGGCCAGGCTGGTCTCAAACTCCTGAGCTCGTGATCTGCCTGCCTCAGCCTCCCAAAGTGCTGTGATTACAAGCGCGAGCCACCGTGCCTGGCCATCACAGTCATGTTTAAATGTCCAGTTCAGTGGCATTAAGTACATTCATGCTGCTGTGCAACCATTACCACCATCTACCTCCAGAACTCTTTCACCTTATAGAACCGAAGCTCTGTCCACATTAAATAACTCCCCATTCCCCGCTCCCTCTACCCCCGGGCATCCATCATTCCACTTTCTGTCTCTATGAGTCTGACTACTCTAGAGGCATCACATAACTGAATCATAAAATATTTGTCTTTTTGGGGCTGGCACATAGCCTAATGTCCTTAAGGTTCATCCATGTTGCAGCATGGGACAGGATTTCTTTCCCCCTGTTTTTTTGTTTTTTTTTTTGAGATAGAATGTCACTCCCTGTCCAGGCTGGAGTGCAGTGGCATGATAGTGGCTCGCTGCAACCCCTGCCTCCTGGGCTCAAGTGATTTTCCTATCTCAACCTCCTGAGTCGCTGGGACTACAGGTGTGTGCCCTCACGCCCAGCTAATTTTTTGTATTTTTAATAGAGATGAGGTTTCACCATGTTGCCCAGGCTGGTCTCAAACTCCTGAGTTCAAGTGATCCAACTGCCTCGGCCTCTGAAAGTCCTGGGATTACAGGCCTGAGCCACCACACCTGGAAAGATTTCTGTCCTTTTTATTTATTCATTTTTTATATTATTTTATTTTATATATATTTTTTATTTCTTTTTTGAGAGCGAGTCTCATTCTGTTGCCTAGGCTGGAGTGCAGTAGTACAGTCTCTGCCTCCCAGGTTCAAGCAGTTCTCTTCTCAGCCTCCCGAGTAGCTGGGATTACAGGCGCCTGCCACCATGCCCGACTAATTTTTTGTATTTTTAGTAGAGACAGGGTCTCACCTTGTTGGCCAGGCTGGTCTTGAACTCCTGACCTTGTGATCCGCCCGCTTCAGCCTCCCAAAGTGCTGGGATTATAGGCCTGAGACACCACACCCGGCCTTGTCTCTTTTTCATTTTATTATTTTTTGAGATGGAGTTTCACTCTGTTGCCCAGGCTGGAGTGCAGTGGGTGCATTCTCTGCTCACTGCAACCTCCACCTCCCTGGTTCAAGAAATTCCCCTGCCTCAGCCTTTGAGTAGCTGGGATTACAGGCGCATACCACCACGCCTGGCTAATGTTTTGTATTTTTAGTAAAGAGGGGGTTTCGCCATGTTGGCCAGACTGGTCACAAACTCCTGACCTCAGGCAGTCTGCCCACCTCAGCCTCCCAAAATGCTGGGATTACAGGCGTGAGCCACTGCTCCAGGCCTTATTTCCTTTTTAAATCTGAGTAATGTTCCATTGTATGGCTGGCACACGTTTTGTTTATCCATTCATCTATTGGTGGACACTGGGTTGCTTCCATTTTTGGCTTTCATAATGCTGCTATGAACACAGGTATACAAATATCTCTTTGAAATCCTTTTATTTTTTAAATATTTTTCTATCACTATTTTTAAAACTGACAAAAATTATATGTATTTGTCAAGTACACCACGTTGTTTTGAAATATGTATACATTATGGAACCTCTGAGGCCCTGTTTTTAATCCTTTTGGGGATATGCCCAGAAGTAGAATTGGATCATATGGTTACTCTGGATTGTTTGGTTTTTTGTGGGGTTTTTTTTGGGGCGGGTTTTTTTTTTTTTTTTTTGAGACAGAGTCTCACTCTGTCACCCAGGCTGGAGTGCAGTGGCATGATCTTGGCTCACTGCAACCTCCACCTCCCAGGTTCAAGCAATTCTCCTGCCTCACCCTCTGGAGTGGTGGAACTACAGGCATGCGCCACCACGCCCAGGTAACTTTTGTGTTTTTAGCAGAGACAGCGTTTCGCCATGATAGCGAGGCTGGTCTCAAACTCCTGACCTCAAGTGATCCACCTGCCTCGGCCTCCCAAAGTGCTGGGATTACAGGTGTGAGCCATTGCTCCTGGCCTGGCTACTCTGTTTCTAATTGTTTCAGGAACTCCATAGATAGATAGATAGATAGATAGATAGATAGATAGATAGATAGATAGATGATACACACACACACACACATATATGTGTATATATATGTATGTATAAATATGTATATATGTGTGTGTGTGTATATATATATATTTTATTTTTTTGAAACAGAGTCTCTTTCTGTCACCCAGGCTGGAGTGCAGTGGCACGATCTCTGCCTACTGCAACATCTGCCTCCTGGGTTCAAGCAATTCTGCCTCAGCCTTCTTAGTAGCTGAGATTACAGGCACACACCACCATGTCCATCTAATTTTTGTATTTTTCGTAGAGATGGGGTTTGCCATGATAGCCAGACTGGTCTCGAACTCCTGACTTCAGGTAATCTGCCCCCCACCTCAGCCTCCCAAAGTGCTGGGATTACAGGTGTCAGCCACCAAGCCTGGCCATGCCAATATATTTTCCATAGCGGCTGCACCATTTTACTTTCCCACCAACGGTGCACAAAGGTTCTAACTTCTCTCCACATCCTCACCAACATTTGTTATTTTCTGTTTGTTTTGTTGGGTTTCAAAAATAGTATTAGTCATCCTAATGAGTATGACATACTGGTTTCTCGTTTCGTTTTTCTTTTTCTTTTTTTAATCTAAATAAACATGAATGTTGTTGTTTTTTAATTTAGAGACAGGATATTACTCTGTTGTCTAGGCTGGAGTGAAATGGCTCAATGATAGCTCACTACAGCCTGGAGCTCCTGGGCTCAAGTGATCCTCCCATCTCAACCTCTACAATAGCTAGGACTACAGATGCAGGCCACCATACCTGGCTAATTTTTACATTTTATTTTTTGAAGAGATGGGGTCTTGCTATGTTGCCCAGGCTGGTCTCAAACTCCTGGCCTCAAACAGTCCTCCTGACTCAGCCTCCCAAAGTACTGGAATTATAGGCATGAGGTGCTGCACCTGGCCTGCTTGTTTCTTTTTGTTTTGTTTTGAGAAGGAGTCTCACTCTGTCACCCAGGCTGGAGTGCAGTGGCACAATCATGGCTCACTGCAACTTCCACCTCCTGGGTTCAAGTAATTCTCCTCCTCAGCCTTGCAAGTAGCTGGGATTACAGGTGTGCGCCACCACGCCTAGCTAAGTTTTGTATTTTTAAGTAAAGACAGCGTTTCACTATGTTGGCCAGGCTGGTCTCAAATTCCTGACCTCAAGTGATCCACCCACCTTGGCTTTCCAAAGTGCTGGCATTACATGTGTAAGCCACCATGCCCGAACCATGGCATATTTTTTTTTTTTCTTGAGACAGAGTCTCACTCTGTTGCCCAGGCTGGTGGGCAGTGGTGCAATCTCAGTTCACTGCAACCTCCACCTTCTGGGTTCAAGTGATTTTCCTGTCTCAGCCTCCTGAGTAGCTGGGACTATAGGGGTGCATCACCATGCCTGGCTAATTTTTGTATTTTTAGTAGAGACAGGGTTTCACCATATTGGTCAGGCTGGTCTCAAACTCCTGACCTTGTGATCCACCTGCCTCAGCCTCCCAAAGTGCTGGGATTGTTGGCATGAGCCACCGTGCCCGTCCCCTGGCCTATTTTTTAAAGGGTTAGAAATATGGGGCATTCCGGGTCCCCCATGCCACCCTGTTTCTCAGGGTCCACGATGCCCACTCACTGCTGTTCTCTGCTTCTGCTTTGAGGCTGCTGCGGCCACTGAGGCTTCCACTTCGGCTGTAAAGGCCCCGGGCTGGACGGCTCAGGAAGGCGGGGCGGCTGTCTGGGGTCCCAGGTCCCCCCACTGAGGGTGTAGGGTTCCAGGGGATGCTCTCTGGGAGGTCTCTGCAGCCCACCACGCGTACCTCCAGGGTCCCTGCAGGAGGGGAAAGCTCAGCAGGGGGCCACGTATGGGACAGGCTAAGGGGAGGGGATCACAGTGGGGAGGGGACACATCCAGACACAGCCATGGTACAAGTGGGTGCCAGTGAAGAACAGCCAGGGTGGAGCATGGGGCCTGAGGCCAGGATGTCCATGCTGGGATAGGAGAATATGAGACAAGCAGTCCTGCCCGGAGGGGCTCGGATGTGGGAGTTTTGAGGCAGATGAGAGGTTCAGGGTGCAGGCCAGGGGCCCAGGCAAGCAGAAACAGGGTAAGACTAGGAGTTCTTAGGGAGGATTCGGTGGACAATCTGAGGTCTGAGATGGCCTAGGGGTCTATGGTGGGGCTTGTCTGGAGGAGTAGATGGCTGAGGGGTCTGAGGAAGGTGGGGCTGGCTGGTCTGTAGCAGGGGGTAGGAGGCTCATGGCTGACGGTTGTGAGGCTGAGGTGGGGGACAAGGACGGGGGGAAAATACTGAGCCAGGTGAGGAGGGGTGGAGAAATTGAGGAGTGGGGAGGGGCAAGAGCCCAGGGTGCAATGGGGTGTCTACTGGAGAGGGGAGGGGACAGTGGGATGGGAGTCCAGGGTTGGGGAGAATGGCTATTGAAGTTGGGGGTCACAGGAATGGGGAAATGAGAGGAGTCAGAGGCCCAAGGCTGCGTGGGAGGGGCAGGTCTCAGGCCTACCTGTGAGCGGCGCGGGCTTGCACAGGGTGCTGTAGTGAGTGGCGGGGAAGGGACCCGCCAGGCGGGCGCTGAAGGCGGCAGATGAGGCTGCAGCGAGCTCTTCTCGCAGCAGCCGCCCCTTGGGGTGGTCGGCGGGCAGCTCCCCGAGCCTCCGCTCCAGAGCCTCCCGCAGCAGCCCCAGCTTCTGGTTGGATTCTGTCAATTTCTCCTGGGCCTGCGATGGGAAGTGTGGTTCTGGGGGCCGAACCAGTCTTGCCCCTTCCCAAGTGCAGGCTTAGGCCCCACCACCAGACTGAGTCTCTCACTGGACTCCTCCCTAGAGGGCTAAACCTCAAACCAACTCGGTCCCACCCCTGGGAAAACTAGACCCTGACCCTTGCAGAGGCCCCTCCCCTCACGGAGGGCCATTCCAGCCTGAAACCACGCCCCTCACTGAGGCCCCGCCCCCACAGGGCGCTGTTCCTGACGCCCCGCCCCTCCCATGGTTGAAGCCCCGCCCCCCACAGCAGTCTACTCTGGCAGATGCCCCACCCCGTATGAAGGTAACACCCCCTTTGAGGGTCCACCCCTCCCCATGGCCGTTCCTGGCAAAGTCCCCGCCGCTTGCTGAAGCTGCGCCCCCAGCTAAAGCCCCACCTCTAATGAAAGCTCCGCCCCTCACCTCGCTGACAGCCTTGCGGTCCGGGGCCTTGGCAGCGCTGAGCAGGCGCAGTACGTTCTTGGCACCCTCGGCCACCGCGTGCTCCACTCGGAAGTGGTGCCGCAGCTCTTCGATGCGCAGCTCCACGGCCCCAAGGTCAGGACTTCCTGTGAGCGTGGAATACAGGGCAGTGAGGCTAGCCTGCAGCGCCCCACCAACCTAGTCCCAGACACGCAGCCATTCACAGGAACAGGCATGGGCCACAGACAAACCATCATGAAGATGCATAACACTTCATCCAAAGGGTGGGCACAGTGACACTGTCGCACTGTCACCTGCAGGCAGCCATACTTCCACCCAGACTCTTTTATCCAAACACCATCACTCACAGGGCCAGTCCTAGGGACAAAGTTACACTGTTATGGGGGACAGTTTGAGCAATGATACACAGGCACACTGTCACCCCAGGTTTAGAGACAGACACATTGTCACGGTCCCTCTTCACCTCCAGGGATTTGCACAGGGACAGACACAGGCACGCTGTGGCCCCAAGGATAGTCACATTATCCAGATTCAGGCACTGTCACCCAGGGGCTGAAACCCAAAGAGACAGAAACATAAATCATAGGCTGGGTAATCCCAGCGCTTTGGGAGCCCAAGACAGGTGGATCACTTGAGGTCAGGAGTTTGAGACCAGCCTGGCCAACATGGTCAAACCCTGTCTCTACTAAAAATACAAAAATTAGTTAGATCCTTTTGTAGTTCATGAGCATGATGATTGGGTGTTCACATGCTTGTGTGAGATGTGCCACCCTTGAACCTTGTTACGACATCGGCACATTACCCATGTGACCTGAACTTGGAAAAAAAAAAATACAAAAATTAGCCAGGCATGGTGGTGCATGCCTGTGGTCCCAACTACTTGAGAGGCTGAGGCAGGAGAATCGCTTGAACCCGGGAGGCAAGGTTGCTGTGAGCCAAGACTGTACCACTACATTCCAGCCTGGTGACAGAGGAAGAGTTAGTCTCAAAAAAAAAAAAAAAAAAAAAAAGCTGGGTGTGGTGATACGTGCCTGTAATTCCAGCTACTCGGGGGGCTGAGGCAGGAGAATCACTTGAACCCAGGAAGTGGAGGCTGCAGTGAGCCAACATCACACCGCTGCACTCCAGCCTGGGTGACAGACTGAGACTCCATCTCATTAAAAAAAAAAAAAATCATACTGTCATACCCATGTTGACACACCTCACTCCCCAATGAACAGTCACCAGGTTACATAGTCAACCAGGCACAGTGACACTCATGGGCATTTGGACAACCACAGAGATACAACTATACTCACACAGATGGCATCAGTTACAAAGACACTATTAGAGACTGAATGTTTGTCTCCTACCAAATTCCTGTGTTGAACCCCTAATCCCCAATGGGATGGCACTTGGAGAAAGGGCCTTTGGGAGGTAATTAAGGTTAGATGAGGTCATGGAGGAAGGGCCATCACGATGAGATTAGTGCCCTTATCTGAAGAGGAAGAGGCTGGCCACAGTGGCTCACACCTGTAATCCCAGTGCTCTGGGAAGCTGAGGCAGGAGGATCGCTTGAGGCCAGGAGTTTGAGGCTAGCCTGGGAACCATAGAGAGACCCTGTCTTACTATAAATAAATAAATTAGCCAGGTGTGGTGGCATGTGCCTGTAGTCCCAGCTACTCGGGAGGCTGAAGCAGGAGGATCACTTGAGCCCAGATGGTCAAGGCTGCAGTGAGCTGTGATCATGCCAATGCATGCCAGCCTGGGTGAGAGACTAAGACCCTGTCTCAAAAAAATAAAAATAAAAAACAAGAGGAAGAGACACAAAGGCTCTCTCCCCACCATGTGAAGATGCAGTAAGAAGGCAGCCATCTGTAATCCAGGAAGAGAGCCCTTACCAGGAACCGACCATGCTGGCACCCTGACCTGCAACTGCCTGACTCCAGAACTATGAGAAAGATAAATGTCTGTTGTTTAAGCCACTCAGCCTATGGTGGCCCAAGCCAAGTAAGACAGGCACTGTCGCATTGACACTGTCACACTGTCGCCCACAGGGACACACAGCATTACCACTTTGTCACCAGCGTGGGCACACTGTCACCTGCAGGCAGAGGAACACATACTGTGTCACATAGATGCAGTCACATGGCCGCATAGAGACGCTGTCATGAGTCAGGCTCTGTTATACAGACACAGCCCTGTCACCTTGGGCACAGGGACACCATTATAGGGGCAGAGAAGCACGGTCACAGACACAAATGCATTTATGCCCAAGCACAGGGTCAAGAAAAGGGGCACAGGCCAGGCATGGTGGCTCATGCCTATAATCTCAACACTTTGGGAGGGTCAGGCAGGAGGACCACTTGAGGTCAGGAGTTTGAGACCAACCTGGGTGACATAGCAAAATCCAGTCTCTACAAAAAAAAAAAAAAAAAAAATTATTATTTTTTTGAGACAGAGTCTTGCTCTGTCGCCCAGCTGGAGTACAGTGGTGCAATCTCATCTCACTGCAACCTCTACCACCTGAGTTCAAGCAATTCTTCTGCCTCAGGCTCCCAAACAGCTGGGATTACAAGTGTGTGCCACCATGCCTGGCTAATTTTTTTTTTGTATTTTAGCAGAGATGGAGTTTCACCATATTGGCCAGGGTGCTGTTGATCTCCTGACCTCACGATCCACCCGCCTCGGCCTCCCAAAGTGCTGGGAGCCACTGCGCCCGGCCAAAAATTTTTTTTAATTAGCTGGGTGTGGTGGCACATGCCTGAGGTCCCAGCTTTCAGCAGGATTGTTCGAGCCCAAGTCAAGCCTGCAGTGAGTTATGATTGCGCCACTGCATTCCAGCCTGGGCAACACAGCCAGACCCTGTCTAAACAAAAAAATAGTGTGTCTTGGGGAATGTGTCAGTGTGATGGTGTATGTGATTGTGGATACCCACATGGACTTCACAGTGACTAAATGTAATGGTAGTATCACAGATTCCATTGTCTCTGGCTGTTGTCACAAGCATGGGTGTCTGGGTGACTTTATCCCTAAAAGTTCCAGTGACTGATTAAGCACCATGTGGCAGCAGGTCTAGGGGTGACAGTAAGACTGTGTGTGTTTTGTGTGTGTGTGTGTGTTTGTGTGTGTGTGTGAGACAGAGTATCACTATGTTGCCCAGGCTGGAATGCAGTGGTGCAATCTCAGCTCACTGCAACCTCTGCCTCCCGGGTTCAAGCAACTCTCCTGCCTCAGCCTCCTGAGTAGCTGGGACTACAGGTGTGCAACACAATGCCCAGCTGATTTTTGTATTTTTAGTAGAGACGGAGTTTCATCATGTTGGCCAGGCTGGTCTCAAACTCCTGACCTCAAATGATCCACTCCCTCGGCTTCCAAAGTGCTGGGATTACAGGCGTCAGCCACTGCACCCAGCTGAGGCTCTGTCTCTGTTTATAAGGCAATGTGCCTGTGTCTGTGTTATTGGTGTCCAGGTCAGTGACATGTGGGCACAGTGTAACTGTGAGTGTGACTCTCCGAGACCAAGTGCCAGGGTCATTATTCAGAATAGTCAGGCCAAGCGTGGTGGCTCACATCTGCAATCCCAGCACTTTGGGAGGCCGAGGTGGGTGGATCACAGGTTAGGAGTTCGAGACCAGCCTGATCAACATGCTGAAACCCCATCTCTACTAAAAATACAAAAATTAGCCTGGCATGGTGGCAAGTGCCTGTAATCCTAGCTACTTGGGAGGCTGAGGCAGGAGAACTGCTTGAACCCGGGAGGCAGAGGTTGCAGTGAGCCAAGATCACACCACTGCACTCCGGCCTGAGCAATAGAGTGAGACCCTGTCTCAAAAAAAAAAATAAAATAAATAACAATAGTTATTTTAATAAGACTGTCCTAGGAAACTATAGCCATGAGTAAGCGTGATCTGTGGGTGACAAATGTCCTACACCTGTGTGACTGTGTCCTTGTGCCTCTCCCTGTGCCACTGGGTGACTGTGTCCCTGTGACTTCACACTGGGTGTGAGAACACACCCAGTATTTTCCCCTGTGACATCGGGTCTCTATGCCTGTGGCTGTCAGTGACACCGACTTGCCTGTGCGACAATGTGATGGCATTTCTTCACCTGTCCCTATGCTTTACCGTATGGCAGTGTGATTATGTTTTGATTCTCCCTGGGCTCTAGTTAGAGCCTGGACTGGACTCAAGCGAGCCTCCCATCTCAGCCTCCTGAGTGAGTAGCTGGGACCACAGGTACACGCCACCATGCCCAGCTAATTAAAAAAAAATTTAGGCTGGGAGCAGTGGCTCATGCCTATAATCCCAGCACTTTGGGAGGCTGAGGTGGGCAAATCACCTGAAGTCAGGAGTTCAAGACCAGCCTGGCCAACATGATGAAACCCCATCTCTACTAAAAATATAAAAAATTAGTCAGGCACAGTGGTACACGCTTGTAATCCCAGCTACTTGGGAGGCTGAGGCAGAAGGATTGCTTGAACCCGGGAGGCAGTGCTCGTAGGGAGCCAAGATCTCATCACTGCACTCCAGCCTGGATGATGAAGTGACTTTGTGTCAAAAAAAACCACAAAAAACTGACACACACATCAGTAGTATGGACACAGACAGCCCTGCACACAATACGCCAAGATCCTGTCACAAATTCAGGCTGACAATCCCAGCAAGTTGAGTTTGGGAGACACCCCGAAGCATTCATACACACAGATGCACACAGAAAAACACACACACATGCACACGCCAGGCATACTCACAGTTCTGCACACAGAGGGGCTGTGGTGACAAGACAACCACCTAATCCAGGGAAACACACCTTCTTTTTGGTAGTCAGATTGCTGGCCAGGTGCAGTGGCTCACGCCTGTAATCCCAGCACTCTGGGAGGCTCCGGTGGGTGGATCACCTGAGGTCAGGAGTTCAAGACCAGCCTGGCCAA